CAAGCAAACTGCCCATCCTCCATAACAGGACAAACGTTTCTCAAGAGACGTCCCGTCAGTCTCAAGAGGCACTGAACAGCAACATGATAACCAGCACCAAGCCCTTATAGGAGACCTCCCTTCAGTCTCAAGGAGGATACTCAGTGCTGGCCCCAGAGAGGTCCCTTCCCTCAACTGGGAATTTTTCTTTTCCAAGAGACGTCCCGTCAGTCCCAGGGAAATACTGAAATGTTGATCTCAGAGAGGTCCCTTCCCTCTTCTAAGTGAAGATTGACAACTTAGTCAGAAGTACGAAGTCCTTCTGCTGACAACTTTTAATCAGTCAGAACTGAACTTTTCTATGCTCTTTTTCTTTTCTCTTTATCATAAAAAGAACTCTGAATACTTCTCTTGACATGCCACAACCATGAGTTCTCTGATCTTGACACTGTGTCAATGCTCACTAAAATTGTATCTCACAATTATCTCCCACTCTTTAGGGACTTGAGACTCATGGATCGATTGTAGCACTGCCTTAGAGATATAGTCTCATTAACTTTTGTTGCTTGCTGAAACAGGAAATGAGTTGTCATGCATAAAATCGAAATGCCGAAATGACCATGCATAATTGATCACAGACTGCTGAAAACTCAGTCTTATTGTCTCATTGTCTTACGATACTTTTTCACTCAGTTTTCTGGAACTGCTCTCACTTAGATGACTGACCTTTCTTCCCTCTCCTTGATGTTACTGTAGGAATCAGATCTGGGTCTCTGAATATGAACTTACGAAGTCTCGATCCTGACACCATGTCATGAACCCTGGATCCATCCATCTATGAAATCTCATAAACCTTGCTCTCTGCTTCTCCCGTGATTCTGTAAGGACCAAGTCATCTGGGCTCCAACCTTTTAGTTCATTGTGTCTCAAGAGAACTGTCGAACAGAAGGACAACATCTTCAACTTTCAGTTTCTCTTTTCTTATATATCTTTTCTTGTTCCACCTCTCTTGATCTGACAATTTGTTGGTTGTCATCCTCTCCGCAACATCCATCACTGTCTGATCAACTTCTGATATTTGTCTCATTCTGATCTGGAGGAGTTCTGAAATAGAGTAGTTTTTGTCACTCTCTTGACTTGACCATGTCTTAACAATGTTCTCAATAGGTAACGTAGCATATCGGCCCTACCACAGAATAAATAGAGCATAGCTAGTAGTCCTCTTGACTGTGATATTGTCAGCATATACAGCGACTCTTAATACTTTCGGCCAGTTACTGAGATTTCCCTCACACCACTTGGCCAATGAATCTTTCAAAGTTTTGTGACCTCTTTCAACAGGTGTATTTGCTTGAGGATGGTAAATAGTGATATACCGAATTCTGACACCCAACCTTAGTGTGGTTCTCCTAACGATCTCATTTCTAAATTCTGACCCTCTGTTTGAGACAAATTCTCTGATAAAAGGATACCTGAGATAGACTTCTTCTATCCAGTCAGCCACTTGCTCGGCTGTCTTCCTTTTCAGAGTTTTTGCCTCAACATATCCAGAGAAGTTATCTCTCATGTTCAGTATATATCTCATTCCGCCCTTGCCTAAAGGCATAGTGATGAGATCTAAATGAACTCTGCTTCTTGGCTCTACCAGAATAGTGGAAAATAAGGGTTCAATCATTCTTGTGGTAGACCTCTTCTGACATAACACACATGATTTACATTATTTGTAAATCAAGTCTCTCATGCCAGGCTAGAAGTAGAGTTTGACAGTCTTGGAGTAGGTTGCCTCAGCAGCCTTGTGGCCACCAGTAACCCCCTCGTGTAAAGCAACAATTATCTCTAACTGTCTCTTGTTACCACAGACCACTCTTAGTGGAGGTAGGCCTCCCTTACCATCCACACAGAGATGTCCCCTTTTTAGCCTGAATTTCTTCCTTGAATTTTTACAATAATACTCCTTTAGCTGCTCCTTTTTCATCTTCTTGTCAATCTCTTGATAATTTTCATCATATTCTTCAGAGAAGAAAAATATTTTTTCCCCCTTCTTTTCACTTTCTTCTTCTTCCTTTGAGCCAGAGCTTTCCCCGATCTCATGAGCAGCAACTGTTGCTGCATTAACTCTAGCATACCAATCATTTGGTTCATCTTCTTCTTCTTTCCCAAGAATCCACGCATAAACATATGCATTAGTGATCTCTCCCCAGCTGTCTCTCTCTTCAGGCCACAAACTCCACTTGTAGGAGCATGGTACTTCATAATCCTCATCATCTTTCTCATTAAGAAAATTATCAACGTAGGCTGATTCTTCAATCGTTTCATTGACATCTTCTTCTTCTTCTTTTCTCCACTCAATCCGGCTTAAACCATCTGCTCTGTTCTTTTCAGTGGGGATTTTTTCCAACTTAAAATCATACGTCCAGATAAAGGCGATCCACCTGCTGACTGTTGGATCTACCTGTTGGTGCTTCTTAATGGCACCAATCACAGCAGATGCATCAGTCCTCAAGATGAACCTCCTCCCTGGTACGTAACGCCTGAAGCACCCGAGGCTATGAATGATCGTCAGTAGCTCTTTTCTGAATTGGGTGTAACCTCTTTCTGTAGAATTGAGGGTCCTGCTCTCAAATCTCAGAGGCCTTTTTTTTTCATTTTCATCTTTCTGAATGAGCACACCACCAGAGCAATTGGTCCTCCATCGGCCTCAATGATGAAGGGTCTTTGCCTCCTCATCATCATAAAATGACACTCCCAGCACTACACCACCATCTTTTAGTTTCTCCTGCAGAGTTTCTGCAACGGCTTGTCTTTTATCATTCCATGCTAAATTAGCCCCTTGCCTTACCATTTCCCTCGGAGGCTCTGCAAGGGTAGCAAAATGAGGAATCAAAATCCTCCAGAATCCACAGACGCCCAAAAAGTTTCTGACATCTGTCACTCTCTTGAGTAACAAAGGCCAATTTAAGATCTTGTCTATCTTCTTGGAATCAGAACTCCTACCCTTGGAGAAACATCTGAAGCCCAAGATTATCACTTCAGGTTGGAAGAGAAGGGACTTTGGTCCACTGGCAGTCAGGTTATATTTTTGAAGTCTTTCTAGGATCATCTTTACTCCTTCAGCATGTTCCCAGACAAACTTTCTGACTCCACCTGCGACCAAAGTCTCATCCCTTACCAGGGGTTCTTTTACAGGATTGTCATCAATGTAGGAGCTGGTTATCTCAGGGGAAATATCTTGCATAACTTAGATCATACCCCTTTGGACCACCGCCACACCATTAGTCCAACCCTGAGGTACCACGCACATCTGAATGAGCCCTCTTGGCGTGTGCATAGCCGTCATTGGTCGGCTAATGGGATCAATGGGAAACTGATCATAGCCAGAGTACAAATCAACTAGAGAGTAAATGCATCGGCCAACAAAAGATTCAGAGAGGAGATCAGCATTAGGAAAACTACCTGCGTCACGTATCGTCACAGAATTGAGCTTCTGAAGATTCTGAATCCATCTCAATCCTCCCCCTCGTTTCCAAAAGCAAAACCAGTGGTTAGCATACGGTCCAGCAGCAAGTTCAGCAACATTAGATGCAATCTTTTTGTCAAGGTATTTTACAACTTCTGCTTCTTCCTTCAGGGCATACTTGGTCGGCCTATCATTCCATGGAACATGATCAACTGTTCAAATCTTGGCCGTCTTGATCATGTCCACGTCCAACCGCCCTCTTTCTTCATCATTAAAAGAGAAAGCACCCGAAAATTCCTGACACGTCTTGAAGATATATTATTTCTCTCTAGGCAGGATAAACTGATCCGAGTCTATCTTCATCGTGTCAAATCTCTCTCTGGTGACTTAATTCCCCAACTTTGCAGACTCTCTCAATGCTTTTATAATCTCCCTCTTTTTTTTCAAGGTTGCATCATAATCCTTTTCTATTAGGACTGCCACCGGGTTTTTCTTCACTCTCTTGGGCTTGTATTTTTTTTTTGACCCAGTGGCTATTTTCCTAAAAAAGGGTGAGTTGATGCAAATCTTAATTTCATTTTTCCTCCCTTAGCGGTCTCTACAAACCTTTTAAATTCTTCAATTTGTCAATCTTCGACCTCAATATTACCAAGGGTTTTTATCATTTTCGAAATTTGATTGATACCCAGCGAAATCTTTTCCTTCACTTCTGTTTTTTCTTCTGCTTTTAGCCTTCTAATCTTTTCAGTAGACTCTTCTCTTCTGATTGAATTAGCAGACAGCTGATGCATGAAATCACTTTTTGTGCAGACCATAAAGGTCTGTTCCTGAGCAGTCTCAGCATCTTGTAGGCCTATCCAAGATGACCCCTCATGACTGAAAAATTGGACTGCCTCCATCCTATGCAAGAATGGGGTTCCCAAGATACATTCATGGTCCAGGTTCGACACTACAAAACCCAGTAATTCCACAGTCATTGTCCAAACTCTAATAGGCAAATTGTCTATAAACCCTGCCACAAACAGCTCTCCTGCAATATTGCTCAGTACATTTTGGGCAGGCCTATCAATAGACAAATTACAAGCCTCCATCGTTCTTCGTGAAAGAAGCATCATCTCTGCCCCAGAGTCCACTAGGGTTAGAATCTTCACTTGATTAATGCGAATTGTAAGGTGTCCACATCCCATGGTTGCGAATCTCATCTTGCAACCTGGTAGTGATCTGTTTAACTGATTGGGAAAAGTTGATCCCAAGTAATTAACTTTCAATTTTTTCTTCTCAATTAATTTTTTCAACTTTTCTCTCAGTTTGGGTGCTAAAGTCATTGCTTCCTTGAAAGACAATGTCACTTCCGTCTCTTCCAGCATTTTAGCAATTACATCAGAAATCGCTGTCCCATCATCCAAGTCACTCTTGAGAATGAATTTTCTCTTTCTCCCCTGTTCATTCTTTCCTTGTGAACGTTCCTGTTCAGGGTCACCAAGGATGTTAATCAATGACTCCTCAGCCTTCTTCCTTTTCTTTTCCTCTATCATTTGAGGCGTCATACTTCACCAAGCCTGACACTAGGTTCCATGACAAGCTCTGGGGGTAAATCGCCATGAAATGACATCATGTTAGCCAGAAAGCGAACCATCTCATTGAAAGAGGATTCTACTAATTCAGATGGATTCTGAGAAGTAGGATTCCCTTCCAATGGGGGCTCACTTGTAGAAGCCTCGCTGGACGCACACTCTGTCAATGTCAAGGATTGCAGAGGTAGCCCAATCGTGGTATAAAGGTCACTTCTTCCTTGTACTAGTTCATTAGGCAACTCTTCAATGAGAAAATGAACATTCACATTAGCCTTTTTCGTCTTCTTAATCTTCATTTTTTCAACATGTTTAAGAGCAAGAAGCCTCATACCTCCCGGATGCCTGGGGTCCAACTTATTCCATGAACTGTCACAGACATGACCCATTGCATCCTTCTTTGCCACCCCACTCCTCACATCCTCCTCAAGAGGCTTGCAATAGGTGGTAGTGTGACCTCCTTCACCACAGTAGTAGCAGACAAAACTCCGCGTAGGACGCTCATCATATTTTCTCCTTTCTCTGTTTTCTCCATCGCCATTCTTTCCATTCCTTTTGGATCTGGAAGAATCCCCCTTCTTACCATAGCCTTCATCGTCATCATCATCGTCGTCATCCTCTTCACTTTCAGCCTTCTTCTTTCCCCTGTCATCCACAACATGGGTTGAAGGTCTTGCAGGCATAAAGTTAGCCATCACCTTTTGAATAATTTCTCAGCAATCAGATTACTTCATTTACTCGTATCATTCTCAGTCTCCCAGTCCTTAGCCAAAGTACTGATCTGATCCAGTGACCATTTCTTGTGAGAGACAGTAGGTAAAGTTTTTATAATTGCAACAATTTCATCCCATCTGAGAGGATAGTGCTGAAGCTTGATTAAGAACTGCCTGCCTTTCAGTGTCAGTAAAATTGTCAAAAATATATGGCATCTCTGAGCTTCGTTCAAATATGAAATTTTTCTTGCTGTTCGGATGAAGGTATGAAGAAAGACATTGAAAGTAGCTCTTCTGATGTTGAGTAAGTCCTTAGTTGTAGTTGGGACTGAATCTTTCTCAAATTCTTTTTTCAGTCTTTCCTTGACCTCTTCCCATGTAGTGGCTCCTACCATCAATTCCTGAACTGCCAGTCTTGAGTCAGTATCACAGTAAGATAGAAGGTGCTTAAGTCGTTGCTTGTCTGTCCAACCATAACTGAGCCCAAACAGTTCATGCTCATCCAAGAAATCATTCACTTGAGGCCCTCTGAAACAAGGAATTCTTTCATCTGGCCTTTGTTCTTTCAATGTCTGACCCTCCTTTGATTGTGTTAACTCTCTCGACCAGTTCTCGTATAACCCCAACCAAGGCCTCTTCATTGGTCCCTGCAGATGAACTCGGTCTCCCTCGTCCTGCCATTTTGACTATAGACTCTTTTCAAGTACCTTCTTCTCGTTTTTTTGTCACTCTTGCCATCTTCTTCCTCGCCCTTCAATCCCTCACCATTCTCGCAAGGGATACAGGCTCGTTTATCTCTTCTCTCGTATGTTCTATCCCTTGAGAATTTTGCACATAAAGAGTATAAGCAATAATAGATTGAGTAGTGATCAAGGGCAATGCAATTCTTCTCAGCCTTCCAATGTAATCTTCAATCAATTATTTCTCATAATCTCTACTCAATCTTCTATTATACCCTTTTATAGTACCCCGAATCATAAAATACCGAGTCAGGTCTATAATCTCGTATTCAAATTGCATTGTTTACGACCCGCTGTTGATCCTTCTTGCAAGAGAGACCCGTTCCCGAGAAGTGTGGTATGATACTCTCTCAGTAGTTCGCACTTTCACAACCTTTAATAGATAGCTTATCTAAGTCTGGTCAGTGACAATTCTCAAGGCAGAATCTCTCATGCGATCAAAGAATGGTTGCAAGAATTCAAGTTCAGCTAAGGTAGAGAGATTTCCGTCAGAGATACGAAGAGTCCCTTCTACCTTGACTATTCTTCCTTCCTGTACAACTTCAAATATTAGTTGCTCAACAGGGCCCGACATTCTTGACCATCATACTTATCATCAGAAGAGATGAATCTCAGAGGAGGCGTGATCTGAGACCTCGAACTGATGCTCGAAATTTTTCAGAAGTAGAAACTTTAACACTACTGTCAAATCTCTCTCTCTTGCCTTACCAACGATGGCAATAGCTTCTAAAAGAGACATCCAATCTCTTCTATCTTCAAAATCATTAGTAGTTAAAAGGTTAGGGAACCTCTCAAATTTTCTTACTCCCTTCCCCCAGGTTACCTTTCTCTTTAACTTCTCAAGTCACTCCTTGGTTCTTATGACACTAATATAAGCACCTGTCTGACACTACAAGTAATCATCTTCCTTTTCTGGGCCTGCTGATACATAAATTCTTACGTCCAAGCTGCCAGTATTTAGGAATTTGACCACTGGAATGTGAAATATTATGGGTCATCTCACACAAGTCTCATATCTCAGGATCACAAAGGGATTATCACACCCTGTCACCTCATAGAGTTTGCCCCTCACAGTAATTATCCTAGCTACTAAGAGTATTCTTCTTGGGCTCTCTTCACTTTCCATGCAAACTTTATTATGGCATACCAATTGTCTTTTGGGAATGTGAGTCCCTCAACAGGTGGAGATGGTATCCCCACAAAGGGTCTAACATAGGTACTAAAAAAGAAGTTCCTTCCCTCTCGTTCTAATCTTCTTTTCTCATCATGTACAAGATCCGGCGCTCGTTGCCAACACACACATTTTCTGCATTCTTCAAATCTTTGTTTCGACACATAAATCCCAATATCATACTCATCAAGATCAAGTAACAGGTAAGGACATACAGACTATCCTGATCTCGCCCCGACTTTTTTATCGACTCATACCTCACAATCTCATAAAGGATTATGCCTCTACTCGCTATAGAATTAAGGAAATTTAACAGTTTATCTGATTCAACCTTGCTCAACCCTTCATGGCCTCTAATCAGTCTAAGCTTAGGTTTCTCTCTTAAAGGCGCATAGCGTCGATTCATCTGACTCTTTGGTCTCGTTTCAAGGGAGGAGCTGGAAATCTCTCAAAGATAGTAAATCGAGTAGATCCAGTAAAATTATTATTTTCCCTCTCAAATCTCTCTTTTTCTTTCAGTACTACTTCTTAAGCAAATCCCCAGCACCTCCCGTATACCGCTTCAGCACTTCTCTCTTTTGGGACATAAATTCTCACATCATATACATCCAGATCCGTGAAATAGAAAGTCAGTATGTATAATCGTTCCTGCTCCCATCCGCTCTCGACCATCTCATATCTGACAACCTCATATGGGAACACCTCTCACTCACTTAAAGTGTTCAGTGACTTTAGGAGACACTCTACTTCCTCTTGACTTGGGCCGGAACCTCTGCCAAATTTCTGCCTTCTCTGTCTGATTTCCTTTGCTGAAATCTCTTTAGTTCCCATGACCACCGTTTCTTTTCTCCCTTGTCAATACCATGTTGATTATCGACTGCCAGTTAGTCTCATCACAATAACAGTTAGGTATAGGAGGGATCGGAACATTCTCATATATCACTGGTATTAAACCCCATTCCACTTTCTTCTTCTGCTTAATTAAATCTGCCTTCTCATCATAAAGAGACTGAATCGCAATTTCTCATAGCAAGTTGAAGGTTTCACCATCGTCACTGTCTCCCTTTTTGACATAGGGACGAATATCATAAATATCTCCCTCCAAGAAGCGAGCCAGTACTACGCTGATTAAACCCAACAATGCTCATACTGATAGAGGAATATTCCTTTAGTAGTTACTTTCGGGAGTTCTCTTAATGCATCTGAAGATAGCATTCTTGATGAAATCCCCGTGCTCTTGATTCTTCCTTTCTCTTCTCAATATTCAAAAGACATCATAGGCTCATGAGGCATACCTGAATTCAAGTCTCATTCTCTGCCAATAATATCAATCTTCTTCTTCGGTCCAGTGTGGTACCTCACACAAGGAAGAAATAAGACTCAGTTAGCAGTTGTGATTCTCAAGAGAATCGAGACTCAATGAGAATAATAAAATTAATACGAAGCTCATAATTCTGTCAACAGTTCTCACGCCCTAATCAAAACTCAAAGATGATGATGACCGAGGCTCGTTCCGGACACAAAAAAAAATTCATGTCCCCGACAACGGCGCCATTTTTGTCGCACTTTTTCTAGTCAAGCCACTCCGGACGACCACAAACCCAACAGGCTGTCACGCAGGATTTGGTTGCTGATTGCAATAAATGAAATAAATTATATAAAGCAGATCCCTTCGAGCGAGACCCTTCAATTGAGGTCTTCGCCGGTCCCCGGTCTTAGGAATCTTTTATTTTGATTCAGAACAGCAGAGAATCATGCAAATAATAATAATCATAAAAATTGTGGAGTGCTAAGCATACATCAATTATGTCAATCTAATTTTGAGAACTGTGACAGAATGATCCACATGAACAATCATCAAGCAAGAGCAAATGCAAGAAGCTAGACCGACTGACTCGACCAATGACAAGAGCAAATGAGCGAGGGAAGAATGAGAACTCATTATAGTCTCAGGAAGTACATGTGGAAGAGAGCATGG